AGCAGATTAGATTGAGACACTCAGTTTCTACCTGCCCCTCAAAATCACATTAAACCACTACAAAGGCAACTTAAACATTTCATGTCTGTTGTAATGTTGCAATGAAAACTATCATCAAAAAATACTGAGGAACTCATGAAATTAACAAAGGTAGACAGGACCCACAACAAAAATGATATATCTATAGTCACAGAAAAGAAAATGTCACTGCAGAAATAGTTCTTCGTTTAAAAAGCCCCAGAAAAATCCTAGTTTCAGATTAATAAAATAGAGTCTTTGAAGAAACATCAAGGTAATGTTTACAATCAGACCAGTCTTAGCCACTCCTCCTAGCACACGTGTGAAGTCAGACAGCTTTGACTTTTACTTCCAACACCAAACTCTCTGACCAATATGGAAACCCAGTCCACACTCCCCCTCAGAAGGCTTTAACTGTGAGGTTGAATCTGGAAGAGAAGCAGAGAAAAGCCTCTGCTGACACTAGCACAGGATGAAAAGAGACTGTAAGGTGACAACAACCATTCCAGAAATCAAAACACATGTATTCTAAAACTTAGCATGGTAATTGCAGGGGTGAGCAGGGAGGTGGGTATAGGTGGAAGAGGGCCTAGAGGGGATAAAAGGTGATAGAAAAAATAAAATAAATTTTTAAAGTAAACAAGAATAACAAAACCACACAAAACTCCAAAAGATGTCACATTCCACTAACCCTTCAATTAACAGACGATGCCCAGTGCAGCACAGAAAGAGACGGGAAGCTTACCACCTCCTGCCATGAAAGCTGTGCATAGTCTTGACCCAAGCCAGAAAAGGTAACACAGAAACCAAATCAGAAGGTCAATCTCATTTATGATTATACCAACACACATAAAACTGAATCCAGCGTAATACCGCTAACCACAATGACGAGGTAGGGTTTATTCTAGTAATATAAGACCAGGGCAGCTAAAGAGAAGAAAAGGAGAAATTGATAAATTGTTGGAAAAATATTAAAAGTATTCATCAAAGTCAAATAAAGATAATGATAAACATGCTCACTTCAACATCTGAATATTATACCAAGGACCTTAGACAATGTAAAAGTATATGAAAGATATGTAAGATCAAAATGTTGAACACCAAAATTACATTATTTATAAATAATAAGCCTTTATCTGGAAAATACAAGAAAATTAATTGAGAAATAATAATAACTAGTGCAAGTAATGAGAAGGTTGGCATCTAAGATAAGCACATAAAATTTAGTAATGTTCCTGCAGACCTACAATAACCAGACTTCAACAGAAATGGGAAGGGAAAGATCCAATTCAAAGGAACGAAATAGCGAGGAATAAATATGAGGAAGAGAAAAAAGATACAGAACCAAGGCTATATAAATAGTTATTATACAATGCTATAAAAAGGAGAAGAAGGATGTAAAAAGGCAGTTTAAGATAAAACATGACACAACATCTGGGGAAATGCAAATTATACTGCTAATGTTTGTTTTTTAACCTTGAAAAAATTTTTAAATAGCAACATTAAATGCTGACAGGAATATGAGGAAACAGGTACTGTCATATAATTAATGGAAATATAAATGATTGCAACCTTTTAAAAATATAATCTGGCAGGATTCATCAAGATGTACAATGAACACATTATACTTAGGACTGCAATTCTATATTTAGGAATACATTCTATAAATACACATATTAATGTTCTGAAAGACTTGATACAAAGATAGTCACTGCTTGTTTATAAATAACAAAAAAACACAAATATTCATTAATGAATAATGTTTATAAAGAAATAATTTTAAAATATGGATGAGACTATGCTATGGATTACTATTCAACAGTATAT